CCCGCCAAGGTCAAGGTTTGGGCGGCTGGGGTGGGAATACTAGCTACGCAGAGCGAGCGCAATGGGGAGGGGCAGCGTGAAAGAAGCATGGGTAGCTGCCCCGTGAAGAGGCGCGAGCGACCCCAGCGCACACCCTAAACCCTAAACCCTAACCCCCATACCAAACACGCCGCAGGCCCAGCGTCTCCGGCAGTCATTGGCGGAGGCTGAAACGAAGATCGCAGGCATTCAGGTGCTTTCCTCGGATTGCCGTGTCGATGGTCCCCCGCCTGCCGGGCTTTAGGGTTTAGGGTTTGGTTTGGGTTTAGGGTTTCGGACCAAGCCAGTGACGGGAAATTCAGTCCCCGATGCCTCAAAGACTCCGAGCCTTAAGCCGACAAAGATTTTTACCGCATAAACCCTGAGAACCTAAGCCCCAAAGCTTTAGACATCCTCAAATCCCTGAAGCTCATACGTCCTCAAATCCTAAGCCCTTAACCCTATAAACTTTCAACCCTCAATCCGAAACCCTAAAAAGTACCGAGTCGACCCGCATCCGGCCTCCAGTTCAGGCGCAGCAGCTCCGTCTCGCCGAGGGCCTCCTGGGTGAGTGGCTCTTCTCAGCAGGGAGTCTTTAGGGTTCAGGGTTAAAGGTTTGGTTTAGGCAGTTTAGGGTTTAGGGTTTAGGGTTTAGGGCTCCGGGTTCAGGGTTTGTAGCCCATACAGGAATACTTATAGTACCCCCCTTATAGGAACTCTTTAGGTGACCAATATAGTAAACCTAACCTTTTCGAGGTCACAAGCTCCTGGTTAACACCCCTGACCCCAAGGCCCTAAAGCCCTAAGGCCCCAAGACCCTAAAACCCTACGCGCCTAACCCCAGACCCTACACCCTAATCCCTAGGCCCTGGCTCAAGGCTCAAGAGGTTGTCCGTTGTTTCTCCCGGCTAGGGTGGTCCTCTCGCGGCCTGCTGTGTGCATTTCGGCCGGTGGCTCCCGCTCCTCGGTAACTCGATTCAGGGGAAGGTGAGGGCTGGGGCGAGAGGGTCTTCTTCGGTTACTTGATCCGCCGGGAGCGCATAGGTGGCAGAGCATGGCGGTGCCTGGTGTGCATATTCCTGTGCCGCAGATTCCCGGGATCCCTGACGATCACGATCCTGATTTAGAGGTCCGGCTGGCCGCGGGAGAGCGTCATGGCAGGCTTGGGGGCGGTGATCCTGGTAGTCCAGCAAAACGACCGAAGTCTGGTGGTGAAGGGCAGAGTGGAGACCATGTGACCATGGGGGCCCTGCGGGCCTTGTTGGCGGAGCAATCGCTCGGCTTGTTGCAGGCTCAGCAGAGTCAGATGACTGCCTCGCTTCAAGCTGTTGAGGAGAGGCAAAGCACCAGGTTGGACAAGCTGGAACAGGCTGTGCAGGCACAAGGGGACAAGCACTCTGGTCTGGAAGATCAGGTCAAAGCCCTGGCGGAACGCTTGGCGCGGGTGGAGGCACGTCCGCAGGTGGCTGCCGATCCTGCACATGGCGGGCCGAACCGACGCCTGACGCTTGTGTTCGGAGGATGGGAACGTGATACTCGTAAGGGGCTTCTGCTGGAACAGCTCAAGCAGGCGCTGGCGGCGTTGGGGCCTTCCCAGCAGCTGGACGCAGAGGCCTTCTGCACGGGGGCGCGCCGCTCCGTAGCCCTTTGTCCCTTCAAGCAGAGACCAGGTGAGGACCACAGCGGACCGAGGGACCGGATGCTCCATATCGTTCAGGTGGTTAATTCCAGCAAAGTCACTTTGGAGGGTGCTGCAAGACCTTTGTGGGCGACGTTTAGCAAAACTCCAGCAGAACGCGGTCGGGCGAGTTGGGCGACCATCGTCAGGAAGGTGGTCCTGAGGTGCAGTCCAGCACGTCTTGGGGATGTTGAGGTCGAATATCTCTCGGGGCGGTCGTGGATAAGGGATGACCAACTGTCGGGGATGGGTGACCCTCCGGCTGAGCTCAAGAATGCCAGGGTGATCACTACCAGGGCTGGCCCCGGCTGGCTCGATGAGCGGACTCTGGCTCGATGGGTGGACGCCTCTCTTGAACAAGTCCAAGGGATCGTGGCTGAGCACAACTTCTGACCTTCCCTTACACCTTTGTATGTTTCGCCTGAGCAGGTCTCCGAAGGATTGGCAACTGCAGACTTGTCGGGCTCGGGTCGTGGTAAGAGCTGTATGGTGGCCGAGTCTGCTGTGAAGAAGCTCTCTATCCTGGGCTGGAACGTCGGTGGTGCGGACCTTCATGTGCTGCCTAAGGCAGTTCGAGATTCTCTCTTTCGGCTTCTTGGAAAAGATGAGCTCGTGTTGCTTCAGGAAGTGCCTCGGGAAGCGGAGGGATGGAATCATAAGCAAGTCGCAGGCAGAAGGGTTGTTACGCATCAGTCGTCGAGTCAGTGGCGAGGAACGGGCCTTTGGTATGACGCTGGGGCATGGTGTCTTCTCCGCAAAGTCTCTACAAACAAGGGGACATGGTTCAAGCTTCGTCATCTGGAGGAACGCATGGAGCTCTGGGTGGGGACGGCTCATTTCTCCCCGGGAGCGTCGGTGGCAAACTACGAACTTGAGGTTCATGATCATTTTGCAGGCTTGCCTCGGGATGCCTCGAGGGTTGTGTTCAAGGGCGATGTGAATACAGGATTCTCGTGGGCGGCTGAAGGGGATGAGGTCTCTGCAGTCGCCAGGGAAGGGAAGGGTAACATTCTTCACAAAGTGTTGATGGAGGCAGGGTTGGCAGTGGGAGTACCAGAACGAGATCAGATGCACACCCCGACTAGCAGACCCCGGCAGGAAGGCAAGCGAGGTCAGTGTATCGACATCATGGCTTTTCGGGGACTTAGCTTTCGGTCGTGGCACATCTTGGTCGACTCCTGTCTTTGTATTGGAACAGATCATGAGCTGTGTCATTCGATTTTCTCACATTCGGCGGAGCGGCTTTTCCCCCGGTACAACACAAGGCCACGAGTCTGGGTGGGTGGGGCGGTGACCGTTGAGAACATGAACCAGGAAAAGATTGAGGAGTTGGCCAAGCGGTGCACCAGACCGACTCCGGGCACGGGGTACAAAGATTCGGAATCAATCAAGCTGGCCTTTAGGGAAGCTAAGAGGGCGGGTACAGCGGTGAAGTGGAAGGCGGCACTCAAACTTCGCAAAGCAGCACGCATGAAGTGGGAGCATGACCGGCTCGTACGCGCAAGTGAAGGTGAGTGGCATTCTTTCCGCGCTTTGAAGCCGCGGCGTCAGGAAGGGTGGGATGTGGGCTTCTCGGAGGCCCAGGTGCAGGACCCACACCAGGTTGTTCATGAGCATCTCGCAGGGGTTTACGCGGGGGACGACCTTTCTTCACCTCCTCGCTGGCAAGGAGATGTCCAGGCTTTCACAGTGGAGGAACTCAGGTTGGGTCTGTCTCAGCTTAAGCGAGGCAAAGCAGTGGGTGCGGACCTTACGTCAACAGAGCTGCTACAAGGTCTGGTACAAGTCCAGGGGGGAGAGTCCCACCTTCTCGAATGGTACAACAGAATACTTGCCACACAAGAAATTCCGGATCGATGGAATGAGCCTGTACTGGTCTTACTCCCCAAGATATCAGCCCCGAAACGGGCCCGGGATCTTCGTCCGATCGCCATGGGCAGCGCAGTATCCAAACTCTTCAGCCGCATGTTGTTGAACAGAGCCTTGTCGCGGGTCATTCCACATACATACATGCAGTGCTCTGGGCCGGGGCGTCAGACATCCGATTACTTGTTTACCATCATTCGACTTTTTGAGTTGACGAGGGAGTGGGGCAACCCGCTGGCTGTCTTTAAGCTGGACTTGGAGAAGGCTTTTGACAGTCTGGATCGTCGCATGTTGATGAGTAAACTGGAGGAGAAGATCGGTCCAGGTCCGGAGCTCAACTGTTGGTATGGGCTGCTGCGGGGGACCACAGGTCTGCTACAAACACCGTGGGGGTCGTCCAGGGTCGATATGCGTAGAGGAATCAAACAAGGTGGGATCGAATCGCCACTCTTTTTTGCGCATATTGCAGAGCTGGCAATGGCGGATGCGGTCACACTGCACGGTTGGCGCAATATGACCCCTCTCTTTCCTGACCTACCGCCGGAGGAAATGTTGTATATGGATGATGGCATGCTCTGGAATGGTCTGGTTTCGGTTGTGGAGGCCAGGGCGCAGACACTCTCGGTTGAATTTGCCAAGTACGGGTTGAAGATGAATCCTGGCAAATGTCAATTGTATGTTTCGCCGTCGGTGGTCGGTAAGCGCGAGATCCAGTTGAATGGGGAAAGGGTTCAAGCGTCCACGGTGCTGGAGGTCATGGGTCTACCTCTTCGTGTAGGGATGACCATGTACGAATTGGTTTCCCCGGCTACCTCCCATGCTCGGGCAAAATTTTTGGGAGCTCAAACATCTTTTCCGAGCAAAGGGTCACATGAAGAGTCGAGCCAGAACCATGCAGAAAGTGGTGGGTGCAACCGCTCTATGGTATGTGTGTTCGGTGCCCCCGGACAAAGCGGCGATGACGGCTTTGAACGCGACACAGTTGCAGCTCATGGTGTGGTTGTTGCGTCTCTGTAAGACACCCGCGGAAAGCTGGTCAGATGCCCGGCAGAGGGCGTTCCGGGGGGCGAGGGCGGCATTGCATTCGGCGGGATTGGAGCGCTGGAGCACACTCTGGTTGAGGCGGTACTGGAGATATGCTGGACACAGGGTGAGGTCTGTCCTATCCCTACACCCACCCATCAGTTGTGACTTTGAGCTCTTTCGCACGCTGCCGTGGTGGACTCGTCAACAGGGGCTCAAATCGGGGAATACACGACACAAGGGACGTCATTATGCACGCCTGACGATCTTGGAACAACACCTTGATGCTGTAGCAGGGGCTCCTTGGCGAAACCTAGCACATGATCGAGACGCCTGGAGGGGTAAGGAGAATCAGTGGGTGGCGTTGATGGATGTGCCTTGGAGCTCGGGGCGGCAGCTATCTATTGGGGACCTCTAATGCGGAGCCTGCAGCAATGGTGGTGAGTGATTTAGACTCTTGAATTCGGTGATGCGAAGTCAATTTTTTCTCCCCTCCCCTACCCTTAGGGTGTGTGTGTGAGGGTTGTAGAACAAGCGGAGTATTGTATAGCTGTGATTGCTCTCCTTGAGCGCTGGCATGCTGTGTGAAGGTTCTTTCGTGCCTGATGTTAGCGATCGAGCGCCTCAAGGGTTGTCTCTCGCCTCCGTATGCTCTATTTGAGAGCCATGGTTCGTCCTGGCCTACATGTTGCTGCCTGCGCCTTGGTGGCCCTTTTGGGTGCAGCTGTTCTTCGGGATGGCTCGCGCCAGCCGGCAGCGTTGACTTCCATATCACGACCCACACCGGTGGTCTCCTCTGTGACTTCCACCTCTGTGAATGCCACTACGACAACATGTTTGCAAGGTACAGCAGGTGAAGCTTCGTCGGGGCTGACTGCACCGATGGGACCAAGCTCAAGATGTGAACCTGATCAACTTGAAGATGAGGATCCCTCTCCTCGCGCACACGGTAATGACCCTGATCTATGCCCTCCCGCTCACTCTCTTCCTGCACAAGCTGATTCGGATGGCCCCCCTCAAGATCGGCGGACCGTGCACTCCCGGGAGACCCTCACTGGTGCGGGCGGGAACTTCCTCAGCGGCTCGGTCTCCGCATCCTCGTCAAGTACGGTGCCACCCTCTACGACCTTCGGCGCCCCTCCTGTGTCCTTTGGTTGGATGGTGTCTGCGATGTCACAGATGCGGGATTTGCGAAGGCGAGGAGAAGGGTTTGAGCTCATGTGGCTGTGTGTCCTGCGCCGGCTTGAGTTCCGTGGAGACTCTGGCTATTTCCGGTGGTGCAAAACCGCGTTGCGGACCCTTCGCCAGGAGTTTGGACACCTCCGGTATAGTCGGGATGCGCAACCGGCCTCGAGAGCTGAGGTCGCATGGGCAGCGCGGGTCGAACATGCAGTCTTCCAAGACTACCTCGAAACTGGGGCTGCAGTTTCTCCTACCACATGGAGTGTCATCAGTACTCTGCCCTCGGACAGCTGGGCCCCAACAGGTGGGGTTGTGGAGGCGACAGCGCCTCCAACGCTCCCGTACGGCATTTTTCATGCAACATGGGTGGACACACCTTCGGGCACCTGGGGAGTATCCGGAACGCGGTCTATGACGAGCCCATCCTCTATGGTCGTGACGGAGGAGCCGGGCGAGATGGAAGATGATGAAGTGACCATGATTGGGGTATCTTTGGTAGTGGCCTCTGCGATGGTGGGGAACCCAGTTCGGGCTCAAGAAAAGGCGTGGCAACCTGGCGGTGCCCCTCCCTGGTTTGACGACATGCTCGACCGCCTTCGCCTTGCAGTTGATCGAGGTGTGGACCGCTTGGACCTACTCCGAGCACTTGAGGACGATATACAAGCACGCCAGGACGAAAGGTTCAGCCTGGCCTGTGCACCGCAGCTCAATTCCATACGTCGGGGGCTGCTGGAGTACGAGGCGGACACTACCGACCCCGTCATCCGCCGCATGGGCCTACCAGATGAGGAGGAGCTGAATGTTCTCCTGGAATGGACGGTACACCAACTTCGACACCGGTGGCTGTGGACAGTTTGCCCTGTGGCAATGCGCAATCGTGAGCATGAAAGGGCGCTTAGGGCTATGGGCTTGGAATTTCATATGCGAGCCGACTACTATGCTGCGGAGAGACGTGAGAGGCGTCTGTTATCCAGATCCAGGAGTCCGAACCGAGCTCCCCCACGGCCTGTTGATCTTCGCCGACCTCGAGACGATCAGGAAGAAGATGCCGAAGGAGATGAGGTGGGCTTAGTTCAGGATATAAATGCTCCTAGCTGGCAAGATCTAGTCGAACGCCTTGGACGCTGGTTTGAGGAAGGCCGTGCGGTGGGAATGGCAATACGGATGGCCAGGCGGCTAGCTCGTGCGCGGGGGAATGACTCCTACTCCGCCTGGGTGCAAGGGCCTTTATGCACCCTGGGGGCGGGCTACCCCAACAGCGATGGTGAGGAGGCGTCAACGACTCCGCCTTGTTTCATGGCATGGGCGACACGGATTGAAGGGTTTCTCTTCGAGGGGTTCCAAAATGATCGTGATCTTCGTTTGGACATCATGCCGGGAGCCTCTTCGTCGGGTCCGGGGGACGCAGTCAGCCTCATGGACCACAGGTGGAGGAATGGACGGAGGCGGATTCGGGACTCTCGTTCGCCGCGCCGCCCCAGGCAGAGCTCTCGCAGAGATGATGAACGTGGAGACAGGGCTGCTTTGGGAAGGGAATCCCGACCCCATAGGGAGCACAGTGGGCGGCCTCGACCAGCGGTTGCCTTGCAAGGTCGGTACGCCCGGGCTGCCACGTCAAGGGATCCAGGGCTCAGTGAGTATGTGGAAGTTGTCCCAGAAGAGACTGGGGAGCGCGCGTCGGACAGTGCCGATCCAGCTCCTGCAAGACTTCGCCCTGGGCCAGGGGTGCCGGACCTGTCCAACCCTTTGTCTCTCTCTCAGGCAGTCACGTTGTGGAAGTACCTGTTGTTTGACAGGCAGGCCTTTGCACCACGAGCAGCTGGGGAAGGACAGATTCCAACTTCCTTCCTGCCGCAGAGAACCCAGCTGATGTCGCCGACGAGCCGAGCAGTGTCTACGCTTGCCTTGGTCCACCTCCTCCGCTACCTCATGGCCGAGCTGTGCCAGACGTTGGATGTTGCCGATGCTATCGCTCGCACCCGGGAAGGTACTGCTGATGCTGTGGATCTGGAGGACGACGAGAGCAACTTAATGCAGTCTTTCTACCATACGGATGGAGCAGATACGGTACACAGACGGTGGGCTCGGGCCATGATTCGGCTGCAGAAAGAGCTTTCGGGCTTCGGTCCCGCCTGCCGGCGATGGTGCATTGCCAAGCTCAGGGCGGGCCTGCCTGCCATGGGCTCCACGCAACAACCCTCGCAATGGGTGGAGCAGCTCACTGCCTTGCTCCTGGTTATGAGCGAAGATGTGATGCAGGCGGGAGTCTGCGAGGGACCGGTCCAGGTATGGCGACTGGGTGGCAGAACTGGGCTTCTTTATACCGGGCTACTCGGTGTCGGCTGAGATCCAGACTCTTGAGGACTCCCTGGTGGTCTCCCCTCCAGATGCTGCAGGTGCACGACTTGCTCAAGATGTTGATCGGCTGCTGAAGGATGAGGAGGACGAAGCTCGGTGGAAAAACGACTGTGCAGCACATGAGGCAGAGGAACGACAGAAGTTTGAGAAGCAGGAACGTCTCTTTCTTCAAGGTGAAGCCGAAGCGTATCAACAATGGGAGGACGATCAGCTTCGACGGTCGCTGCTTCCTGCTGAGCCCCTGACCAAGAGACGCTGTCTTCTGACCCTCCAAGCCTTCTCGACGACGGGGGCAGGTGCCGATGTCAAAGCCACCCACACAATTGCCATGGAAGTTCCGCTCACGGGTGCGCCGCTTATGCTCTCTCTGAGAGCAACGCTGGAGGATGCGCCCAGTGAGGTGCCCACAGTCCTTGTGCCGGTGGTCGCCCCGGAGCAGTCGGTGATCAGTGAGGCCCAGAACACTGGCGGCGCGGTGGGAATGCTGGTTTCGGGGGCCGGGGAGGGCCTGGACTTTGCTTCCTATGCTGAGCTCTACTCGCAGTGGAGATCGGGGACTTTGGGTCTGGATGCGATTGGTCGGCAGTATGGTGTGGAAGTGGTCGACTTGCTTCAGGCACAGTTTGCCCTGGAGACTGAGGTGGATGGTCCGATCCAGCAGGGTGGTACACAGAGTGGCCAGAGCGATGCTGCGGCTGTGGATGCGTTTGCTGACCCCTCTTCGATTCTCCCATGTGCCATTGTCCCTGGTCTTGGAGCAATCGGACGACCGCGGCTGCGTTTTGGGTTCTTCGAGAATGTCTATGGCCAATGGAGGTCGGGTGACAAGCCGGACTCAGAGATCGTGAGGGACTATGGTCACTTGTGGCTGCAGCTCTTCCTGCAGTGGCGCAAGTGGAGCCTGGAAGGAGTGTGGGGGTACCTGCCGGAGGTGTTGGACATGGAGCCGGACCCGGAGCCGCTGTCAGTGCGGCCATGCATTCGGGCTGAGGATCTTCAATCACGACCTCTGCCGGTGCCTATGACTGCAGTATGGAGAATGTATGCTCGTTGGACAGCCGGTGAGCTCAGTCCTGCCAACCGCCACAACCTTGGACCTGAGTGGCTTCACATCTTTCAGGAGTTGTACCAAGGAGGGTTGGCCAAGGCACGTCCTCTTCTTCTACAACAATCCGTGAACTGGGAGATGGATGAAGGGCTTGTGGATGCTGACCTGAGAGCTCTAGTCCACGGAGGGGGTGTTTCGGCTGGCACTGATGCAAGGGCTGAGACGACAGTGAACGCGACGGCTTCGACATGGAATCAGCGAGATGGTGATCACTCAGGGTGTGCTGATGACGATCAGGGTCAAGATCAATTGAAGGGGCAGTAACACTAGCCTTCC